GGGGTCGGTAAGGAGCTCTGTGCTGTGGCGGCAGCTTTTCGCTCCAGCGCTCGGTTGTGAAGGAATAATTACTCGAAACATATAGTATTTAGAGAGAAGGGGAGAGACCAGAGTCTGAAGGAGAAAATGGCCTCCTCAGCTAAGGTCTTTCTTGTATTTACTACCAAGGATATGTGTAAGGAGTCACGGAGTAAACAAGGATATGGAAACTTAAGCAAGGGTAACTCCGTGCAGATAAGGAGCAAGATGTGCAGATATCAGCTAATAATTCTTGGAACCAAGAACTTAGCTGAAGGACAAATGTCTGGGCCGTTTGCTAACTTCTTTAACGACATCCATACACATCAGCTGTTTTCAGCTGACCTTTGCACACATCAAACAAGCTGCTTCAGGCAGGCGTTTTGGCCTGTCCCTTCATTCACTCTGCTCACATTCTTTCCATTCGTCCATCCTTTCTTCTAGGCCCAACCCCCACTGTGCCAGAATGCAGGGAACAGAAACTTGAAGCAGCCCTAGACGGCAAACCCTGAGGTCCCACAGGCACCTTGGGCCCCTCCCTTGAAATCACTGTGCCCTCCAGGCCCTGGTACTCTGGGCCTGTGATGGGAATGGCAACCTTGAAGATCTCTAAAATGCTCTGGGGGTCCTTTTTCCATTGTCTTGATGAAGACAATGGCTTCTGGCTTTCTTCTCCCCATAGTAAATCTCCTTACCAAACATTACCTTGGCCACGCCCTGGGTGTTCTCTCCTGAACACTTTCTCATTCTTTACAACCTGGTCAGGCTGAGAATTTTCCAACTCTTTCAATTCTGCTTCCCTTTTAATTATAAATTCCATCCTTAATTTGTTTCTCTTTTTTCACATTTTACTATAAGCAGTCAAGAAAAGCCATGCTGCATCCTCTACACTTTGCTTAGAGATTTTTTCCACCAAATATGTTATTTCATTGCTTTTAAGTTCTCGCTTTCACAAACGCTAGTACACAAACACAATTCGGCCAAGTTCTTGGCACTTTATAACAAGGATCACCTTTCCTCCACTTTCCAAAAAGATGTTTCTCATTTCTAAGTCCTCAGAATGGCCTTTATTTTTCTGCCTCCATATTTCTGGTCTCAATATTTCTACCAACATTCTGCTCACAGCCACTTAAATAACCTCTAAAATGATTGAAGCTCTCTCTACAGCTCTCCTTTTCTGCACTCTCACTAGAAAACCCTTTATAGACCACACACAGCAATACAAGCTTTTTTCAGCACCTGCTTCCAAACTCTTTCAGCGTCTACCCATTACCCAGTTCCGAAACTGGTTCTACATTTTTAGGTATTTATGACAGCAGCACCCCACTTATGGGTACCAATTCTGTCTTAGTCTATCCCTACTGCTATAACAAAATGCCTTAGACTGGGTAATTTATAAACAGTAGGAATTTATTTCTCACAGTTCTGGAGGCTGGGAAGTCCAAGATCAAGGCACCATCAGATTTGGTGTCTGGCGAGGACTGCTCTCTGCTCCGTGGCTGGTGCCTGGTGCTTCATCCTCACACGATAGAAGTAGGGAAGGGCACAAAGGAACTAACAGACTCCCTGAAGCCCTTTTGTAAGGGCACTGATGCCACTCATGAGGGTGGAGTCCTCATGACCTGATCGCCTCCTAAAGGCCCCCCTTCTTAATACTATTGCATTGAGGATTCAGTTTCAACATGAATTTTGGGGGGACATAAACATCCAAAGATAGCAGGTATCTACAGAGCTTTTCTTTCAAGAGTAGATATTTTGAAACCTAAAAATAATTATGAAAACTATATAGGATATCCACATGGAAAAGAATGAAGTTGGACCTCTTTCTATACACAAAAATTAACTCTAAGTGTATCATAGACCTAAATGGAAGAGCTAAAATTATAAAACTCTTAGAAGAAAACATAGGAGTAAATCTTCACAACATTGGGTTAGGCAGAGACTTCTTAGATATGACATTAAAAGTATGAGCTACAGGCCAGGCGCGGTGGCTCACGCCCATAATCCTAGCACTCTGGGAGGCCGAGGCTAGAGGATCACTTGAGGTCAGGAGTTCAAGACCAGTCTGAGCAAAAGCAAGACCCTGGTCTCTACTAAAAATAGAAAGAAATTAGCCAGACAACTAAAAATATATAGAAAAAATAAATTAGCTGGGCATGGTGCCGCATGCCTGTAGCCCCAGCTACTCTGGAGCTACCTTCTGAGGCAGAAGGATTGTTTGAATCCAGGAATTTGAAGTGCTGTGAGCTAGTCTGATGCCATGGCACTCTAGCCCGGGCAACAGAGCCAGACTGTCTCAAAAAAAAAAAAAAAAAAAGTATAAGCTACAAACCCAGTTCAAAAAAGGGGAAAAGGATTTGAATTGAACTTCATCGAAAGTAAAAATTTTTATGCTTTAAAGTGTACCATCAAGAAAATAAAAAGACAACTCAAGGAATAGGAGAAAATATTTGCAAACCCTACATATGATAAGGATCTAGAATCCAAAATATAGAAAGAACTATTATTGATACAATTCAACAATAAAGACAAATAACCCAGTTCAAAAAAGGGGAAAAGGATTTGAATAGACATTTCTCCTAAGAAGATACACAAATGGCCAATAAGCACATGAAAAGATGCTCAACTTCATTAGCTATTGGGGAAATCCAAATCAAAACCACAATGAGCTACCACTTCATACCCACTCGGATGGCTATAACCAAAAAGACAGATAATAAAAAGCTTTGGCAATGACGTGGAGAAATCAGAACCCTCACACATCGCTGGTGGGAATGTAAAATGGTGCAGCCACTTTGGAAAACAGGCTGTTCCTCAAAAAGTTAAACCTAGAGTTACCCCAGGGCCCAGCAATTTCACTCCTAGGTATGGACCCAAGAGAAACAGAAACATATGTCCACACAAAAACATGTACACAAATGTTCATAATAGTGTTATTCGTAATAGCCAAAGAGTGGAAACAATGTCCATACAATCAAATATTATTCAGTAAAGTACTGATACCTGCTACAAAATGATAACCCTTGCAAATATTGTGTTAAATGAAAGAAGCCAGACACAAAAGGCCACATATTGTAAGACCCCGTTTATATGAAGCGTCCAAAGCAGGAAAACCTACAGAGACATAAAGTCCATTAGTGTTGTGGGGAAATGAGAAGTGACTGCCAGCGCGTACATGGTTTCTTTTTTGGGGGCAATGACAATGTTTTAAAATTGTGGTGATGGGTATACAACTCTTGTGAACATACTAAAAACCATTGAATCATAAGCTTTCAATGGGTGAATTATAAGGTATGTTAATTACATCTCAATAAAGCTGTTAATAAAAAAACCATATAGATGGTGTCCGGCAACCGAACAAATTGTGCATTTGTTGAAACTTGTGTCTCTGAGGACAAACTATGTTGAATGCACATTTCGAGTGCCAAGTTTCCACCAGCCAGGACGACTGTCGTCAGTACACGAGTCAGAACCAGTTTACGCCTTGACGTCATCACAGCTCTTTGATGAACCCCCACCCCAGCCCCCACAAGAGCCACCAGCATCTCTTGGACATCAGCCACTTCGTAAGCCACTCAAAACCCACTGAATGCACATTTCATCATTAGCTGGAGTTTCAGAATCCCCAAGTCCTCCCTTTGATGTTATAAATGAGGAAACTGAGGCTCGGAAAGGGGTTAAGTATCTACTTCAAGAGCCACATAGCAGCACATTTATGGTGAAGCTGGGATTAGAGCCTCGCCTCCCTTCTCCTACAGATTTCTCATGGGCCTTCCGTGTCCCTCACACCAGCCTTTCCAGCATGGCCAGACACTGAGCTCCTCACAGCCTCAGCACCAGAGCCAGGCAGGAGCCAGAGGGGTCTGGAGGCTGCTCCATCTGGGGGAGGGAGGGGACAACGGAGGAGAGAAGAGGGGCCAGCTTCCAAGAAGGAAGCGCAAGCCCGTTCCCGTAACAGCAGAGACACAGGAGGGGCACAGCCCAAGGGATGAGGCTTGAGATGCAACCCTGACACATGGTGTCACACGTGGGTGTGGTTCCTGTCAACACACAGTTGGAAGTCCTGAGAACAGGCCCCCCAGTGACCCCGCTGACCCCACCTCAGAACCAGTGTGATTTCCCCCCAGAAAGTAGCCCTGTGAGTCACTCCCCCCATGGAAACTTCCCTCCCACCCTGACCTCAGGCAAGGCAAAGGGTGAAGAAGACCCAAGCCTGTGTTCCCACCTGACCTCTCCCACCAGCACCTGCAACCCCAGGCCAGGTCTGGGGGCCAGCGTGGGGGCCACTGGCTCTCCTCGAAAAGTGGGGAGCAGGAAACCCTGTCCGGGGCACATGTTTGGGGTCCAGAGCCTGGGCTGGGCTGGCAGTGGGCTGGGCGGGAGGTGGGCAGTGTAATTGGAGCCTGCTCAGGGAGGAGGGACTGGTCACAGGCATTGACACTCACAGAGGGCCAGGCACAGTTCGAGCACTCTACACGTGTTGACTCACTCCTCTCCACAACCACTTCTGAGGTCTATATGATTATTACTCCCATTTTTTGATGAGGAAACTGAGGCACAGAGAGGCTAAAGGACCTGGCCAGGCCACACAGCTCATGCATAACCTGGCCCAAGCCCAGGCCCACCCTCCCAGCTCTTCCTCTGGCCCACCTCTTACATCTCACACGCACAGTGCTGCATGTCGGAAGCAGGGGGGTGCCCCTGCTGGCCTGTCCGTCCGTCCCCACGGAGCTGAACCTCCAGGCCCTCGGGCCCTGCACTCCTCTGTCTGTTGGCCCCGGCCCCGCCCGGCAGCACCACCTGGCAGATGAGCCTCCTGCCCGCTACTTGCTTCCTGTGGGCTGTCGGCAGGCCCCCGGATGAGAGGTGATGACAGGGTGGGTGCAGGTGGGAGGGGGAGAGTTCAGGGGACCTGTGACCACAGCTGGGGGCAGGGCAGGAAGCAGAAATGACGTGAGCAGTGGCCGGGTGATGATCTGTGAGGTGGGCCTGCCTGAGGGGCTGACGCCACCATTCCAGGAGCCTCGGTGGTAGGGAGAGGACATCTGAGCAGCAGCTTCCCCACACGGACTCCTGGTAAGGAGGGAGCGGGGGCCCCAGGGGGGGAGGGGTGGACTGCCCCTCACAGGGAGAGCCAGAAGGGGCAGGAAGACACCCGGGGCACAGACTGTGCCCAGTCACTAACTCACTGGGCAGCCTGTGGCCGCTCTGGGCCTCAGTTTCGTCACATACAAACAGAAGAGGTTGGTGCACAGCGTCTAAGGCCCCTGCAAGTGCTGACAGCTAAAGCGTCTAAGGACGCTGGAAACAGGCTTTCTGGGAGAGAACACGATGAGGGTAGGACAGACACAGAGTCCCCCGGATCAAGATTGGCCTCCCAGGAGGGAAGAGCAAGGGCGTCTGAAGATCCCCCTTCGCCTGTTTACCTCCCTGGGGCCAGCCCTGCTGCCTGGAATCCCACCCTTCCAGTCTCCTCTGGTAGGGCCCGGAGGTCCCCCGGAGGGGCTCCTGCTCTGCACACCCCCTTGTCTCAGGACCTGCTGTCCCCGGCAGGTGCCCGAGGGGAAAGGCCTGTTCAGGTGGGGACAGAGAGGAGATGCCGGATCATAGCAGGCCCAGGTGAGGCCCCAGGGCCACCTGGACATGAGGAGGAACCTACTAGTCAATCGTTGCTCAACAGCAGGCACGAGGTAGGAAGGTCCCTGTCACTGCTGGCAGGACACCGAGCTCTGAAGGGAGTGTCAGAGAGGAGAGGGGCGTGGGAAGGGGATCTGAACAGCAAACCGCACGGCCCCCATACACACAGAACTGGGGGTGTGGCCGTATCAGCAGCTTTTATTCCAGAATTCAGGCCAATGTTCTTCCCTAAGGGAAAATGGGGAGAACAGGGGAGATGCACGACCTCATTTCTTTTCCAAGTCTGTTAAGGGCTTTAGAGATCAAGATAGAGACAGAGACAGCGTAAAAGACAGGGTGGGAGAAGGGTGGCCTGTCTGGGGCCAAACATGACACTTTTCAGAATCCAGGCTTCCCTAGGCCCCCAGGCCCCCCCCAAACCTGCTGCAGCTACTCTGTCCCCTCTGTGGCCAGAGCCCCCTCCCACCAGCTGCAGTTGTCTCCTGGGGACGGAACCATCAATCTAGATCCCCATTCAGCCTTAGAGAGTAAACTTCTAGCAAGGGGCTCCTCTCAGCCGTGTGAGCCTGGGAAAGGCACTTCCCCTCTCTGGGTCCATTTGTACAATGGGGAGGGGTGGACCAGGCCTGGCAGGGACATTCCAGCTCTGAAATTCAGTGACTTAGGAGAAACCTCAACCCCTCCCCTCCATGGGTCCTGATGATCCACAGTTGTCGGGCAGAGGACAGCCACCCTCCATCCCTCTGCCCCCAGCTTCCCAGAGCCCAAACGCCCCCTGTCTCTGCAGCTCCATGGCCGCCCGCGTCCTCCTCCTGGGCATCCTCCTCCTGCTGCTGCCCCCGCCAGCCCCCGCCCCCTGCCACACGGCCGCACGCTCGGAGTGCAAGCGCAACCGCAAGTTCGTGCCCGGTTCGTGGCTGGCCGGGGAGGGTGTGGATGTGACCAGCCTCCGCCGCTCTGGCTCCTTCCCAGTGGACACACGTAGGTTCCTGCGGCCCGATGGCACCTGCACCCTCTGTGAAAACGCCCGAGAGCCAGGCGCACTCCAGCGCCTGCCCCTGGCAGTCACCAACTGGCATGCCCAGGGCTCTGGCTGCCAGCGCCGCGTGGCCAAAGCCAAAGCCACCTCCACTGAAGCCGTGGCTCGGGAGGCAGCCAGCAGCATCCGCAACGACTGGAAGATCGGGCTGGACGTGACTCCGCACCCCAGCAGCAGCGTGCACGTGTCTGTGGCCGGCTCACACTCCCAGGCAGCCAACTTCGCGGCGCAGAAGACCCACCAGGACCAGTACAGCTTCAGCACTGACTCGGTGGAGTGTCGTTTCTACAGGTGAGAGCCGAGGGTAGGTGGCAGAGGGCTTGAAAACAGCGTGGGAAACTCCAGGTGGTCTAGGAGGCCTGGAATGCCAGGGTGGGACTTGGAGGCTGCTTCTACCAGGAGGAAACCGCAGTCCTGGTTTTCAGACTTCAGGTGACTCAGCCCTGTGTCCTCTTCCCATCCAGGTGGTCTCAAATCTCGAAGTGTCCAGTGAGAGACCAGGTGGAGGGGAAGCAAGGCCGTGCCTGAGCACCCCAGCATGGTGCCATTTAGGCCTAGTGAGCACCCAGCCGCCTCTTTCCTGGGCACTGCCAGCCTTCCATGGGGTCCTTCCTGGATGGGAACAGGGGAAGGAGACCTGGCTGGGTCCTGCCTTCTCATTGCTGTGCTACCTTGAGCACCTCACATTTCCTCTCTGGGCCCCATTCATCCATTCAACCAATGCTCACATCTGCCTTGTGTCAGGGCTTACACTGCTGAGCTAGGCAGTCACCACCCCGGCTGCCAGAGAGCGGGCAGTCTGGGACCCGGGTCCACACCTAAGAAGTACATGGCCTGCATGCCCAACCCCAAGTCACCTGCTCTGATTTCTCAGACCTGGAAGCCACATTTTGCCCACAACAAGGCAGGGCACCTCCTGCCTGTGTGGCCTAAATTGTCAGCAGCCCAGGCACACAGGGCTCCATGCAGGGGGACAGACAGAGGAAGGCCACGTGACTAGGTTCCAAAGTTAAATCACTACCATCAGTGCAATATCATTGCTTTCATAACAAGAAAATAAAAAGAAAAGAAAAAACTTTATTTTGTAAAGGAAAGAGAAAATACCCATACAATATCTAGGTCACTGAGGAAGGACAGAGTAGGCTTCCCTGACAGCTCCATGTCCCAGACCAAGCTTTGGAGCGAGGCCTCTGGGTTCAAGTTTTATTAACAGTTTTGCCCACTTACATGTGATCTTGAAGTTATTGAATGGGGAAAATACTGCCCTCCACTGGGCCCACCTGATGTTTTCCTCTCGCCTCACAGTTTCCACCTGGTGCACACGCCCCCACTCCACCCCGATTTCAAGAGGGCCCTCAGGGACCTGCCCCCCCACTTCAACGCCTCCACCGAGCCCAGCTACCTCAGGCTCATCTCCAACTACGGCACCCACTTCATCCGGGCCGTGGAGCTGGGCGGCCGCATCTCAGCCATCACCGCCCTGCGCACCTGCGAGCTGGCCCTGGAAGGGCTCACGGCCAACGAGGTGGAGGACTGCCTGAACGTCGAGGCCCAGGTCAGCATAGGCAGCCACGCCAGCTCCTCGGCTGAATCCAAAGCCTGTGAGGAGAAGAAGAAGAAGCACAAGATGACGGCCTCCTTCCACCAGGCCTACCGGGAACGCCACTCCGAAGTGGTCGGCGGCCACCACGCCTCCCTGCACGACCTGCTGTTCGGGAACCAGGCTGGGCCCCAGCAGTTCTCAGCCTGGGTGGCCTCGCTGGCCGGCAGCCCCGGCCTGGTGGACTACAGCCTGGAGCCTCTGCATTTGCTCCTGGAGAGCCGCGACCCGCGGCGGGAGGCGCTGAGGCAGGCCGTGAGCAAGTACCTGACGGACAGGGCACGCTGGAGGGACTGCAGCCGGCCGTGCCCCCCAGGGCAGCAGAAGAACCCCCACAACCCGTGCCAGTGCGTGTGCCACAGCTCGGTGGCCACCACCCGGGACTGCTGTTCACGGCAGAGGGGCCTGGCCCGGCTGGAGGTGACTGTCATCCGAGCATGGAATCTGTGGGGAGACTGGTTCACTGCTACCGACGCCTATGTAAAGGTCTTCTTTGGCGGCCGGGAGCAGAGGACGGGCACCGTGTGGAACAATAACAACCCCAGTTGGACAACAAGGCTGGACTTTGGGGACGTGCTTCTGGCCACAGGGGGACCCCTGAGGGTGCAGGTCTGGGATGCGGACAATGGCTGGAACGATGACCTCCTTGGTACCTGTGACGAAACCCCAAAATCGGGTTCACACACGGTGAAATGCAACCTGAACCACGGTCAGCTGCAATTCCACTACCAAGCCAAGTGCTTGCCCCATCTGGCAGGGGGAACCTGCCTGGAGTACGCCCCACAAGGGCTTCTGGGAGAGCCTCCGGGAAACCGGAGTGGGGCCGTGTGGTGAGAACGGTGAGCTTTGAGGAGCCCTGTATGCTTGGACTGAACAGGTTCTCCCAGTGGGAGCCAGGTGTGTCTTCCTATTCCCATTAAACAGATGGAAAACTGAGGCTCAGACTGTTTTTCACTGCGGTGGCTGAATTTAGCAACAAACCCTGAGTCTCCCTGACCAGCCTGCCTTAGCCCTCCAATGTTCCCGAGTCCTCAGTCTCTGCCTCACAGCCACGGCTTCGGCCAGGAGCTGGGCAGAGGCCCTCGGCCATCCCCACCAGGCTGCCCAGTGCCCCTCTCTTCAGAACCCGCCTTGAGCCCTTTCTGGGGAGCCCCTGCGGCCCCAGTTGCTCTGTCTTCTCTGCCCGCCATGCTTTGCCCCTCAGACAAATCCAAGGCTGTCCTGTCCTGTCTCACTGCGTCCCAGGTTGACAGAGGGCCAATAAATGTGATGCGATGGTGTCCATGACGGTGGTGGCGTGGCAGAGGAGAGGACGGGGACCACACACACCCTAAAAATAAACTTCCACATTAGCAACCCACAGAAAACAGGCGGGCAGGCAGGCAACGTAAAGAAACTGTTTTTCCACTTGTGTTAGAAATGGGGGACCGAAAGTATTTTACTTTCCTCACGACTCTCTGACTCAAGAAACAGCAGCACAGACTTGGTGATAAACGGTGAGGCACGTTCAGCTCCCAGCTGAAAGGCGAGAGGGAACCGCCGGGCACCCGTCTCTCCTACACGGGAGGCTGCAGCTCCGTCCAGACCAGCATTCCCTGCAGGCACGGGAGCCCAGTGCTGCCGGGTCTTCCCGTTTTTTAAAGTAACCAGAAACCCCACTTTGACTTCTAGCAGTGGCAGTTAATATTTCACTTTGTGAAAATAAACCTTTGTGGGCAAACTCAGTAAAAGAGAACATGTATGTGGGCCGTAACTGATCTAGGCTATCAGTTTCGAAAACTATACTTTCAACAAAACCCGTTTGCACGGGCTAAAAACCTCTCCCGTGTCTCACAATTCAAGGAAAAGGGCATTGGTTCCAACAACGTGGTCTTTGTGGGCCTCCCTGGCCTTGGATGCGGTACACCCCAGAGTCGTGGGTTCCAACATACAATGAAGTGGTCTTTGTTTCATGTGCCTGGGACAGGCCTCAGCACGCAGACCCACAGAGTGGACGACAAGATTCGGGGCAGCTTCCCAGACATGGCCGGCCTTGGCTGTGCAGGGCCAGTGCCAGAGGGCTCAGAGCAGCTGGCACGGCCCTCCTAACTCCCTTTGAAACTCCCTATCAGTTAAGCTCCTTGAGGTTTGTGCAGGACCCATAGGCCCAAAAGCCAAGCAATGACATTACACTGACCCCAAATCCCCAGGTAGGGCAGGAGGGATTAGCACGGTCTAGAAGCCTGGCTGAAATCACTGTTCTTCCACGTGTCTGTTCTCAGTCACATACTCAAATGACAGCACAAGAGACATATTGACACCTGCTGGCTGCTGCACTGATTGGGAACAAACGTGGGTGTGGGAAGTGCCCTCCCAGGAAGGCGGGTCCCCGAGGCAGGGCACGCAGGCTCAGGGACAGCCCTGGCAAAGAGTGGGAGTCTTGGTCAAGTGCCCATGCAGTCAGTGACCTCCAGCAAGTCCCTCTGCTCCCGTGCCTCAGTTTCTCCAAAAGGACAATCTTTGTTTTACTCCCTTCTCAGGACTGTTTTGAAGGGGGCTGTGAGCCTTTCTGGTACTCCCAAAGGGATCCTGAAAGGTCATCTGGTTAACCCTAAAAGGTCATCTGGTTCTACATACAGGGAAAGAGGAAGGGATTTAATGTGGTCAGAGAAAAAGTCAATGGCAGAAAGAGCCAGGTCTCTGCGTCCTGGGCACTCCACTCTGAGTGCAGCTTTGGAGAGGCCGACGGGGCTGGGAAAGGAGGGCTTCTAAGAGAAAAGACTGAGCAGAAAGAATCTGACCACTGTTGTCAACGGGCAGCTACTATGGAGCCCTCAGCCCTAACCCAAGACCCAACATGACATTTGTATTTCCACGCCACCTGGACATTGGGACGCTTGTTTGGGACGTTCCCCACTATGCCAGATGCACTGTGCCCTTTGCCTTCCAGGTCTTGTCCCCACCTGGCTCCCCCCCCAGCCCCGCCTAAGCTGGCCCAGTGGGAGGAAGGGGGTGCTCAGCTGTCCGAGCACCGTTGGTGGGCAGGAGACCAGAGAGGCAGAGTGCGGAGATCAGGGCATCTGCTCCCCTCCGTGTCCCTGGTGTCACTGCACCCCTCCAGGAAGCCTCTGCTTGTCTCCCTCTTGCCCGGCCCCTGTAACTGCCCCCTCCCCTCACTCTGCCAGACTAGGGATGGCAAAAGCCCTGCCCTGCTCATCCTGAGTCTGCTGTCCCTTATGCTCCCTACAGCCCTTCGGTCTTTGTGAATAACCCAAAGTCATTGTACTTTGGGTATTCCTAGGGGGCCCCGAGTGACGCGCCACCTTAGGAGTGCTGGGGGGAGCAGAGCCCATCCCCCCACAGAAGCTGAGAATGCTCCGATTCTTGCTTCCCCAACCTCCCCTGCACCTAGGAGAAGACTTGGGCCTGGGGCTGCCAGGCAGATGCACCTGCCCAGGGACGGGGCTCCTTCAGAAGCCAGCACTGAGGCCAGGGTGCAAGTGCAGGTAATTTACATAGGAGGTGACCCAGCAAGCACCAGTAGGGGCGTGGGGATGTGAGCCAGGAAGGGAGGGTGGCCAGTAAAAGGTGTATTATTGCAGAAGTCATCACTGTGGGCCACAGGAGCTGGACCCACTGCGAGTGCCAGGAGCCCATGGAGAACACACACCTCGGAGCCAGCCCAGCAGAGGCATACCGGGGTGTTGACACTCCACCTCCCACTGGCTATTGGTTACGGCTCCTGGAGGGGACACTAATCTCCCCACACTCCCCATCCACCAAAGGGGCAGGCAGAGCAGAGTCCAGCGACCAGAGAAAACCCTCCCAGGAAGAGGGGCAGAGGCTGAGTCCAGGTGCTGGGAGGTGTGCCGAGATGGTATCCCCAGTGGGATGTGAGCACCAGCTCTGGGAAACCCAAGCTGTCATTGCAGGAGGAGGGAGTTCTGGCGGCAGTGGCCGCAGGGCTGCCGGTGGGAGTGTCCACGACTCCCCGGGTCAGAGGAGCGAGGAGGGGCCCCCAGGCTCCGCAGCAGTGCCACCACCGGCCCGTTCCTGGCAGGATTTGGGGGCACTGTTCCTGGATGCTTAGCCTGCCCTGCCATCCTGGTGACGCTGTGAGATACCTGGTCAATAAATTCTTTTTCTCCTTTTTCTTCATCCAGACTGGGCTTCTGTTGCCTGCAGCTAAAATCCCTGGTCCAGGACGCCTTCCCATCCTCTCCCTCCTGCATCAACACCCCCACCCCATCCCCCCACCCTACCGCCCCACCCCACTGGGCTCAGGTCCTTAGAACCTCCACACCATGTCCCGGCACCTGCCTGCTCCCCGTCCCCGAGGGCATGAAGCATAGAAGGGAGGGACCACGCACAGGTTCCCCGCATTGGTACTGAGCACCTTCTGTGGGCCACGTCCTGTCAGGGGCTCCGCTGAATTGCTGTTCTCTCATTTTCTCACACACACGCGCATGCGCGCACACACACATGCTCAGTCCTACGAGGCTCTTCCAAGACTAGGGGCAGGCATTGACAGCAGCCTGGCTTTTGATTTTTAAGCGGTTGCCTCGGCACCTTCATCTCCCTGTGCACACACCTTCATGTCTCAGGCTGCATCGGAGTCTCTGTGAGCATCGACAAGCTGGGACAGTGAGCCCAGCGTCGCTGTCCCTGGCGTGTTTGAACAGAGGAGGACCTGCTGGAGGGGGCAGGGTGGGGTGGGGAGAGCCCGCCCCGGAGAGGTGGAGCTGCTGCGGCTTAGAGAGGCTGAGGTTCCTCTTGCTCCCCAATCACTCCAGTCCCCCCTCAGCTGTCGCCAAGCCATTCCACACACTGACGTCCACCCCTTCTCCTAACCACAGCCTCTGCAGCCCGGCTGCCTGCTTGGATCACTCTGCCTGTGGCCTCCTTGCCGGTCTGCAGGCTCCTGCACGCCCCCTAGCGCCCTCCACCCCACAGCACCCTGCCCGTAGCCCCCGAGGCCCGGCTCCCACTCTGCCTACTACAGCCTGCGCCCCAGCCCCTGCGAGGCCCACTCCACCTGCCCCATGGGGGCACCAGAGTGCGGAGAAATAGTGTCCATGCACCGCACGGCCCAGAAAAACCTGCAACCAATGACTGACGAGGGTTGGTGTGCGAATACCCCAGCTCCCGCCCCATCCGGGAGTAACGCAGGGACATATCCCGGCCTGCCCAGAGTGCTCCAGCAAGAGCTAGCTCCACTTGCCCACGTGGCGACCTGCGCGACCACACACTTTCTTGGCTGCCTCCCTTTCCTGTCTCACTTCCCCACTCCCTGCTGGTATTTTCTGGAACCATGTCCCAGACACCACCTACCCTCAGATCCCTATCTCAGGGTCTGCCTCTGAGGAAGCCAGCTGACACACAGCTCACCAGGCCACTGCCTCTTACGCGTCGTCCGTTCCCCGCAGCTTTTGGGGTAAGGTGCGAAGCCCCTCGCGTGGCACCCAGGCGCCCCTGCCGCCCTCCCCCGACTCTGCCCCCACTCTACACCCTGCCTCGCTGGACTTCCGGGACCTCCGCTCCACACTCTTTCTGGCCCTTCACACAGGCTGCCTCCTCTTTCTGGAACTTTTGTCCTCCACCCTAAGACCTCCTCAATCAGGCTTCAGCTTCAAAGGTGACGTCCTCCAGGAAGCCTTCCCTGACTGCCAGGGAAGGTCATGTCCCCACCCCCTCACCCCACCCCGCTCCGGTCCCCGGTATTTCCCCGTCACAGTGCTGTGAGGCTTTTTCTGTCTCATTTATGGTTGAATCGACTAACCCAGCACCCGGCATAAGTTTGATGAATAAAAAATATTGGATAGATGATTAGATGGATGAATGGGTGACTGAATGAACCTCACCAAGGAATCTAGCCTCTGCTTGAACTCTCCCAGAGACAGAGAGCTCATTACCTCCTAAAGTAGCTGGTCTGCATTTGGAAGGTTC